GAAATGCAATTTGACCGAAATATGAAAGATCAGGTACTTTGTATGTGTAAGCCCTCCTGCTGTTTCTCAGGATTCCCACCTTGCTACTTCCTCATCACCTACCGTATTTCAGTTTCATGTTCTCACTACTGTCACATTCCCCTTTTCCCAAATTTAGCTAAAATCTCTCTGCTTCCATATGCACTATTTTATTGCACCAAGTCTTTATTGGGTATCATTTAAAAATTAATTTTTTTGTAAAGACTATGTTTCCCAAGCTGGTCACGAACTCCTGGCCTCAAGCAATCCTCAGCCTTCTACAGTGCTGAGATTACAGGCGTGAGTCACTGTGCCTGGCCTCATTTCAAAATTATAAAGAAATAAGTGACAAGAATTATTAAACAAATGATCAAAATAGGTTATAAAAATCTCATTTCCCCTGAGATCATAATGACTAGACACCCCTCTTTCTGGGATGGATTTATAGCAAAATCTTTAGACACATTATTTGGTAATCCTTTTTTTTTCCTTTTCTTTTTTCTTTTTTTTTTTTGAGTCAGAGTCTCTGTCACCCAGGCTGGAGTACAGTGGCATGCTCATGGCCACCACAGCCTCGAACTGCTGGGCTCAGGCGATCCTTCCGCCTCAGCCTTCCAAGTAGCTGGAACCACAGGCATGTGTCATTACACCCAACTGATGTTTTAATTTATTATAGAGATAAGGTGTTGCCACATTGCTCAGGTTGGTCTCGAACCCCTGAGCTCAGGTAATCCTCTCACCTCCGCCTAAGTGCTGGGATTATAGGCGTGACTCACCACATCCAGCCTGGTAATCCTTTCTAGGCTTTGGTTTGTCACCTTGTAATTGTTTCCTGGAATAAGAAGTAAGATGGCAAGAAAGATGGCTTGGTTTAGCATGTTCTGAATTCCATTTTCTTCTTACTAGGTACAAACCCGACTTCAGACCTCCCTTGCCAATTTACATCAGAAAAGCAGTGAAATAGAAATTTTGGCTGTAAGTCTCTTTCTTTACCATTTTGAACATGGCTTCTGTTCATACTGTCAAAGTAGTTGTCTTGGAGTTCAGGGCTTTTTCGTTCAGTGTATTTGGAAGTAGGTCTTGTTGTCACTGATGTGAACCAGATGCAATCTGGACCTGTAAAGAACTGGAAGGAGAATTGAAGGCTTTTGTTTTTTTCCTCTTTCTTCCTCTGAAATACAGAGGGGGGACATGAAAACCAAAATCATCCTTTTTCTACATGTTTCAGGCCTTTATCTTGCCTTCCTCAGCCTACACAGAGTATGTGTCACCATGTCAAACCTTTAAGGGGATGAGGAGTACAGTTTCTACTGCTTGTTAGTTTACCAGTACCAAGATCTTATAATTGCACAGTTCATTAAGTCGGCGTTATAGCACCATAGCATCCCAGACTCTACCAACCCTATTCATATTACTCCATCCCAAGTGACACCATAGTCACAAGTCAATATCTGCTGCTTAGAGTTCCCTGAGAGATGATGTACATTTCTGTGTATTAACAGGTGGATCTACCCAAGGAAACAATCTTACAATTTTTATCACTAGAGGTAAGTAATATGAACTTTTCTGCACTGCAGCCTGTAAGATCCCAAATCTTTGCTGTTAGTTTGCCAAAGGAATATTGAAAATGGCATTAAATTTTCTTAGTGAGAATATTTTTCTGGTAGCTCCAGGAATTTAGTAACATTGTCCCTTTTTTTTTTTTTTTTTTTTTGAGTCGGAGTCTCACTCTTGTTGCCCAGGCTGGAGTGCAGTGGCACGCTCACAGCCACTGCAGCCTCGACCTGCTGGGCTTAAGCGATCCTTCCACCTCAGCCTTCCAAGTAACTGGAACTACACGTGCATGCCACTACACCCGGCTAGTTTTTGTGATTTATTGTAGAGGCAAGGTCTCACCAAGGTGCCCAGGCTGGTCTTGAACCCCTGGGCTCAGGCAATCCTCTCACCTCAGCCTCTCAAAGTCCTGGGATTACAGGCTGAGCCACCACGCCCGGCTAACATTGTTCCTTTTATGTGGCATATGTTTTTCTAAATCCTATGTTGAGGGACTCATACTTTTCTAGTGACTTGTTAAAATTTCAGAAACACATATCTTTATTTTTAAAAACATTGTGCTTTTACTACACGTCAGGGATTATAGAAGCCCTTATTATAAGCATTTTACAAATAGTTAACACATTTAATCATAACTCCAAGAGGTATGTACTGTTGCCATGCCCATTTTACAGATAAATGGGACCATTTTACAGAGCACAGAAGCAGAGAGATTAAATATCTTACCCAAGGTCACCCAGCTAGTAAGTAGCAGAGCCAAATTTGAACCTCAGCAGACTAGCAGAATCTGTGTTCTTAACCACTGTACTATGCTGTCACTTAAACCTTCATTCCAGCTAGGGAAGCTCATTTTGTACATTAGAACTATACAGAAAATCCTTCTGTAAAAATTAAGTAGATCCTTTTTTATGTTTTTTTTAAAACAGGTACATGCCTCTATCATCAATCTAAATAAGAACTTATAAAAATTCAAATAATTTCCTTTGCTATTAAGAATAATTAGCTATAGTCACAGCTATAGATGATTTTTCTACATGTCATATCAAAGAATACTTTGTCTATCCAGAGTATTTAGTCACAGATTAGATTAAAAATGAACTTTGCCCTAAACTAATATTTCATTTTCTGTTGCTCTCTTACAAATAAGCACATGCCATTACACTGCCAGGTCACTGATTTATGATTCTGTCAAATGGATACACATTGGAGATGATGTGTCCATTTTATAAAAAGTAAACAGTAGGCAGAAATAACTGGTCTAGAGTCACATCAGCACACCAGGCCTGGGGCATTGTTAATCAGGCTCCAACTAGGTAGTCTTGTTTTAAAGAAAATTGATGTTCCAAATGAATCCCAGTGGTCTCCTAACCACTTCTACAGTCTCCCTATAACTTGACTCTCCTGGCATACTCAAAGAGGGAATGGCACTGGAGTTTCATTAGTGACCCAGAAGAAAGCAGTTTGTAAACTTTAGTGCCCTGTAAAGTCTTATCTGTTTTTTCCTAGTGGGATGCTGACGAACAGGCATTTAACACAACTGTGAAGCAGCTGCTGTCACGCCTGCCAAAACAAAGATACCTCAAATTAGTCTGTGATGAAATCTATAACATCAAAGTAGAAAAAAAGTAAGTTATCACTTAGGCATAGCAGTTTTGTTAAAATTCAAGGAGGGGTTTCAGAGTGACACTATTTGATTCTCCTGTTGAGGTTTGATGACTGATAAGCTGTTGTTAGAACTCCAACTGGCAACCAGTATATTTTGCTTGGACTGCGAATCATGATCTTGTCAGTAACAAAACACAGTGGTCCTAGGAGTAGCTATCCCAAGTATGATTTTGTTTACCCAAACATACTTCTAGAAGTATATATGTTTTGGCCAGGTGTAGTAGTTCAAGCCTGTAACCCGAGCACTTTGGGAGGCCAAGGTGAGAGAATTGCCTGAACCCGCAGGTTCGAGACCAGCCTGGGCAACATGGTGAGACCTTGTCTCTACAATAACTAAAAAATCAGCCAGGCATGGTAGCGCATGCCTGTAGTTCTAGCTACTTGGAAGGCTGAGGCGGAAAGATCACCTGAGCCCAGTAGGTCGAGGCTGCGGTGGCTGTGGGTGACAGCCTGGGTGACAGTGAGACTCCTACTCAAAAAGAAAGTGTATTTTTTTAAATTTTTTGAGACAGGGTCTCAGTCTATTGCCCAGGATAGAGCACAGTGGCACAATCACAGGTCACCACAGTCTCTACCTCCTAGGCTCAGACAGTCCCTCCTCAGCCTCCCAAATAGCTGAGACTACAAGCATGCACCACCATGCCTGACTTGTTTTTTTTTATTTTTTATTTTTGTAGAGATGAGGTCTTGCTGTGTTGCCTGGGCTGGTCTTGAACTCCTGGGCTCAAGCATTCCTCCCTCCTCAGCCTCCAAAAGTGCTGGGATGACAGGTATGAGCCACTGCACCTGGCCTTAGAAGTATGTTTACATGGGAGAAAACTGACTGCTTTATGTTCTTATATCAAAATGCCAACCACTCATGCCGTCATCCACTTAAAAAGCAATGAGTAAGCCTGTGGGGAGGTGTTTAATGTATAACCTTACACTGCAGACCCTTGCCAGTAATACCTTCTGTAAAACCTATATAATCTTTTAGTGACTAGCCCCCTTTCCATCTAGTTTTTGACTAAGCAAAGCTCCTACACTTCAGTGTTCTAAAAAGTTATTAACTTTGTTCTTCACTCATTAAACTGAGTCTGTTCTTATAATTGACCTTTTCCTTTCTTTTGCAGGGTGTCTGTGCTATTTCTGTATAGCTACAGAGATGACTACTACAGAATCCTATTTTAACCCTAAAGAACTATCATTGCATTGTTCAGAGGACTATACTGAAATGAGATGTTGTACATTCATTGTAACTTTAAATTAACTTTACATTCTAAGGTGTCCTACAAAGTTGAGCTTTGTTGGTTTTTCATGTACCGTATATATTTTTTGGGATATAATAAATGCTTTCATATATCTGCTGCTTTTGAATTGCAAGTCTGTCAACACTAGAGGTTTTTATGGAGATGGAAAACTAGAAACAGCCTTTTTCTTCCTTTGGCTATAATGACTAAGCACGTGAAAATGTCCAAAGGGCATAAGGAAACCAAAAATCATGATTACCTTGGAATCTTTATTCTTGATGATGTGGTAATATTTCTCAGGTGGCTAAGCAAACTCTCATTTGGCTATGAAAACTAATTCAAACTTGCTAAAAGAACTCTGATGGAAGACTATCCATGAGATGACATGACTTTCATAAAACTGTCAGGTTTCAATTCCAGTAACCTGGAAGATAATGCTAAAACCTATTCATTAATCACTTCATTCCAGTATTAGTAGTTATTGCCAAAACTACTAACATGGGGTAGGAAAAGGAATAAATAAGAGACAGTCAGTGCTGATAAACAGTCATATTTAATGATACATTGTTCTTCACAGGGATGACTACAGAAACTTCTAATCTATAATCCAGGGCTATACAACCATGCAGCACAAACCAATGAGCCGGATATAAAATAAACTGGCTTCTTACCACCAACTACCTTATAAACACTGTAACCTTTCTTCTCTTCAAAATGACCCTAAATCTTACATGAAAACAGCTACTGCGGGGGAAGCAGAAACCTAGCTATGTAGCCAAAAGGAAAAATCAAAGGAAAAATAGCAATTCAGTGGTTAGTTGGTGAAACCAGGGAATGCGGTGCCCTTCACTGTGCTGGTTTGGTCTTCTTATTCTTGTTCTTTTTGTCCCTCTTCTTCAGACCATCCATATTAGCTCTCAGCAGGTTTGAATAAGCCTGAAAAACACAAAGCAGGAAGAGGTGCAAATTGGTGGAGCAGTTGCCATATTTCCATTACAGTTTTAGGGCAGCCACAATTAGAAAGCCTGCCTGATAAAAAAAAATAGCACCATGTGACACTTGTACTGGAAAATGGTGTGTGAAACGCTGTCATATTATATAGCAGCTTCTGCAACACAGAGAGCTGCAAGTTTTACTTTTTCTAAAGGGAAAACTGCAGGCAACTTCTTGTTCAACTCTACTACAGGTAGAGTATATCTGAAGCCTAAGACCACAAAATCTAGCTAACAAATTGGGTAGGAAGATAATATTGTGTTAAAATTCACAGCTGCTTTTATTTGAAAGATACTTGTAAAACTTATCACCAGGGAGAGCAGTGAAGTCAGACATCAATCTTACCCAGCATTCACGATGATGCTGACACTTGCCCTGAGAAGGGGTGGGGGACATAGGGAACACCAGAAACTCACCATCTGAAACTTATTCACTTCTTTGGAGCTCACCTAGAAAAGAACAGAAAAAGAGGTCACCCCATGATCCATATAGATGGCCTCTGCTTCACCCCAGATGGTATCTCCAAAGCCTCATGAAGACAACGCCCTTTTCTGTATAATACTTCTTCCCAACTTTAGGGGTCATAATACACTAACTGCAATTTTTCTACTCTACTTTCCTCTGCCCAGAGAACAAGCAAAGTAGCTCTGCACCTTTTTCCACATGAGAATTAAACCAAGATGTCAGAGGAAGCGGGCTCCTAAAGAAGCTATGTTTCCCACTTCTTGAAACTCCTTACACAGGTGGCACTGAGTTTTCTCTCTGAGTCCTAAGAGATGTCAAAGGACTTCTCCAGGCGGGCTCAGTGGCTCAGCCTATAATCCCAGCACTTTGGGAGGCCGAGGTGAGTGGATTGCCTGAGCCTGCGGGTTCGAGATCCGCCCGGGCAACTTGGTGAGACCTCATCTCTACAATAAATCAGAAATTAGCCGGGTGTGGTAGCGCATGCCTGTAGTTCCAGCTACTTGGAAGGCTGAGGC